TCTCTTCTAAATATAGTTAAAGGATCTAAAAGGGCAGAGGCATATTTGCATGAATAATGCTAATTATGCTAGGCAATTTTGGGAAGTTTTAGGTACATGAGAGTGGATCCTCGGCAGTTCATATGTTCATACCAAGCTTTGTAATTTTGTTGCTTTACCTACAAAGAATGGTATATAAATTCTCTTTCTATTGTTTAATTTTACTTCAACAAAATACCAACTTCATTTCAGTTTAAAGTTGTTGTTCCCATATCAAGATTTTACATTTTTGCTTCTCTTTGCACACACACATGTTTGATTTGTTCTTCCTTTAATTTGGGAGTTTATGAAGAGAGAAATTCCAATGATCAAACTTTTAGTTACATTCTCGAACTTTTGATTTTAGAAATAATTGGAATTTAATTTGTTTTAAGCTTTTAGGGATTGTAATAAGTATTTTATATGATTGAGTTATGTTTGAATTAGCATAATTAAATCTTCTGGCATAGATTCATTTGTCATTGGTAATCGAGTATAATTGAAACTATTTCCTAAGTTTGCTGATGTAATTAATTACGATACTTTAGAGTGTTTAATTTTAACAATTATCTAATGGATCCAGGATTTCGTTAAAATATATTCTTATTTTAATTAATTTTGAGATAGTTTGTATATATATTATTAATATGGGGTGACGTACGTCAACTTGAACATAACTCAATTAGGTTAAGACATATATCACGACTAAAAGGCGGTGGGTTTGAATCCTCACCCCCACATTTTATTGTTCTCAAAGAAAAAAAGTAAGGACGATGGCAAATGGGATGGGTTCGGTGACTCCCTACTTAGGGATACCAGGTATATCCTGTGAGCAAAAATTTCATCTTGTATATGATGCTTATAAGTTATCACTTATGTATAAATAAAATATTAATTAATTAGTCACAATTTATTTTATTTCCAGAATTTTGGAAATATTTCTTAAAAATGTGAGACAAGAAACGAGGGAAATATTTCTTAAAAATGTGAAACAAGAAACCACGTCATATCATTCACAACCAAATGTTTGAACAAAGGATAAAAAGAAAGAGGAGAGAATAGCCAAAACGAACAACTGAACGATAATTGATATATATCTCGATCCCCACTCTTATACTAAAAAAAGTGATGATGTAATAGGTAAAAAGAATTTTCAATATTGGTAGCCGACATAAAACCAAGAAATCAGTAATGGAATTGAACTACTATGAATTAACATGAGCTGGAATAATCGAGGACATAATTTTAAGAGTCTGAAAATCAGGAGAAAGCTGCCCCACAAGTTGTCCCCAAATTAAGTTTAGCAGCTCTTGATCTTCACATTTTGATTTATCATTTTCATCTTTTATACTAAGTTTGCCTTTTTTAACTCTTTGAATGTTGTTTTGGATAATGGTTTTTTGTGAAAATATTAACTGCGTGAAAGATTCGATCAACAAACGCAAGAACTAGTTTTTTTCTTACCAAAATGATATAATCAAGTAATAACAAAGTTTTTGTTTAGAGGGGCTTCATTCTAAATTTAGTAAAAGAAAATTTACTGAGTCAGAAATTCAATAAATTCATTGGAATTCGTAAATGAATTCAACTCAATTTCAGTGCGAAATGTTGAAGTAAATATATGGATAAAATTTTACTAAAAAAATTTGTGATATATTTGGTTTGAAGTTTTTTTGTAAAGAATTACTTAGTCAAGTCAGTTTACGCCTATCTTTTTAGGCCTTGCAAAATTCTAATTAAAACTACATAAAAATAAGCAATCAAATGAAAAAAATTGGATGATTTATAGAAAAGAAAAAAAGATATTGACACAATAATGTAGAGAGGAAAATCTATTATACTTGCTGTTAAGGACAACGATACTCCTAATACTCCGAGTATCTCTACAATAGTATGATATTGTCCGCTTTGGATATAGCCTCACCACTTTGCTTTTGGTTTCACCTAAAAGATCTCATTCCAATGGAGATAATTATCATCCCAATGGACAACGATACTCATAATAYTCCGATATTCCTAATATATAATTGCAAAAGAAGGATATATAGCTTCAAATTTGCAGGAACACATCATTGTTAGAACGAAGAATTCAAGTACTCTGCCGTTGAACATTGATTTCTAAACAATTTAGAACTTTTGGATCGGACTTGAGTTTATATTAGAAACAAAAATAATTAAAAAGAGAAAATAACTTTTCGTAGCTCAATTAATGTTCCACAAGACCTTCCATACCATGACTGGTATCAGACCAAAGTTGATGGAAATCTCATTAAAAGAAACGAAGGRAGAAGACTTACAAAAAATTAGAGATAAAAGTATGAAAGAATGTGTGTATTTTTTACTTGACTAAGGTCCTGCAAAGCTTGGTAAAATTTTTTAATATCTCATATTATAAAATTTTATATTATTTAATTATCATTTAAATAAATATTTTATTAATATGTCTTATATATTAATAAGGTTTTTTTTTTCTTTTAAAGCATTAAATACATTAATTCATTATGCCTATAAAGTATCTCATATATTAAATGTGAATTTGAATCTTTCAAATTCAATTTCATGTTCAACATATATAATTAATCTATTAAATGTTATTATAAGTTACCAAATGACTTTAATTATGGACCTACATTTTATAAGCTCTAATGATACAYAAATAATTATTCCACTATAAATCTAGAGTGTTGTACTCTTATGCATTGTAGGACAGACTTTCCGTCCTATAATTTAACGTGAAGGCATTTTGTCGCCTAAGTGAGGAAAGTGTCTTTTTGTCGCTAACCTGCAACGCTTGTTTTCGTCACTGGAGTGTCCACTAAGCAATTGCGCTCCAACGACCCTTGCTGTTTTGAAACCTTTTTCGTTGTTGAAGTCTATTTTCTGGAATGAGTGGATTTCAATTTGTGAGATTAATGTTCCCCTCCCCTTTTTTTCACATCCAAAATAGTAGGCTTATTGAATCGGCTACAAAAGTCATTTTCACTCACGTACATCAAAGWYATAACCTTATAGGTAGGAGTTCATAAATCACTATACTTATCTTGTCTTTTAACCGATTTACAAARAAATATTAAATATTTCGCGGTTCAGTCTTATACAAAACTATTGTATATGACTGGAAAGAAATATCGTCCCTTCTTGGAGATTTCTAGATCAACATCTCATCTTTGGGACAATATTAAAATTGTTTCTTCATCTTGGTCATCTAAGTCGACTTACTTTTGTAATTATGACATTGTCATCATTTCTTTTAATTATAGTGCTTTTATATACCCTCTTAATCTTGTATATTTCTTACATACTTTTTTAATGAATGGTGTGTTGTCTTAAAATAATAATAATAATAATAATAACAATAAAACTATTATATATTATATCATCACTCAT